GTATAGATCTTCCTGAAGCACCACATCCAAAATGGCTGAATCATACAAGAATTGGTGTATTTATTACTTCTAATAGCTTTTCCAACTGCATGTACCAAGAAATCAGTGATAGCAAATAAAGCATGATTTCAGAGGTCTTGAGAGAATCAAAAGTAAACCCCACCAATTGTATTCATAAATACAATACAGAGTAATAGGTAATTTATATGAATATTCATATATTGAGCTCAGAAAATGGGCACCTTGTTATTCATCACTTTAAAACATGTTTATAGAATACAAATATATTAGTTCTTGGGTTTTTTTCCTAATGCTGATGAAAATGAATAGTACTTGGGGACCAAGTCTGCCTATTAAAGTGATGTGATACATTACCATGCTTGTACAGAAATGAGCACAGATGGCGGGTCTATTATTTCTCTAGCAAGAAATTTGTCATTTTTTTTCCCCAGGATTCAAATCTGAGCAACACTTGCTTAAGTCAGACTACCTCTGTGGGGATCCTTAAAATATTTTTCCCATTACTTGTACATTAGGAGTTAGAGAAACAGAAAGTGATTAATGCCATATTAAAACTTTAAAATGAATGAAGTCTCTCAAACCAAGAGTCTGAGATTTTTATATTTTCCCCCACCCCTAAGCAATGGGAAACAAATTTTGCATGTAAATGTGAGTCTACAGGGATGAAGTTTTGTGTACCATGTTCAGATTCCCAACAGCCTGTTTAGCTTTGACAGATCATTTCATTTACATTAGAATACTTGAAGATGTTAGATTTATAGACATTTGTTAATTAAACACAATTATGTGGAGTATGAAACAACTTATCAGTCATTTATAATTTTTGTAGGCAGAAGATACCACTTCAAGCAGAAAAAGATTAGATTAAACAAAAATATGTTGACTTTCATAATCTTACTTTTATAATAAGAATCAATAAAGCAATATTTCATAAGGTTTTGTCAATGCCTTGTTATACACCCAAAGAAAGAAAAAAGGTTTTCATCTGCCTTATGACTTGTTAGAGCATATAATTACGACAAACTCAAAGTTAAATGAGAGTTTTTAAGATCAGTTGGTCAAAGCTGGATCACCTTGCAGTGAAAGCAAATTTAATACGGGTTAGTATTCCCAATAACAAGAAAAATGCAAACTTAAACATTTACTTCAATACATTGAGTGTACTCACATTTGGGCATTCATTACACACTGTCTCTACCACTCCTTTCCCCTCACACTCTTTCTCTGCTCCAGCACGGAGTCCACCCCATGGGAGTCAGTTGTCTATGAACTTCTCTAACTTGGGTCCTTCTTACAGGCTGCAGTTCTTCACAAACTGCTCCAGCGTGGGTCTTTTCCACAGGGTGGAGTACATCAGGAACAGGCTCCTCCAGTGTGGGTTCTCCCACAGGTCACCTCCCAGCAAACCTGCTCCAGCATAGACTTTTCTCTGTGTAGGTCTGCAGGGCTGTTTCTCTCATGTTCTCAATTAATCTCATCCACCTCCTCTTGCTCAGCAGTTTTTTCTCCATTTTAAATCTGTTGTCACATCTGTTGTCACTGCCACCATCACTGATGTGCTTGGGCTTGGCCAGCAGTGGGTCCGTCTTGGAGCTGGCTGGAATTGGCTCCACTCTGGGGAAAGCTTCTGGCATCCTGTCCCAGAAGCTACTCCTGCAGCCACCTCTGGGCTTTGCTTTTGGCAAGAAAACCAAATATATTTTGGGCAAAATATTCTTCCAAATCAAATTCCATTTAAATGAATCATAATATTTGAAATCCAGCTCTTAATTTTCCATACATGATGGTTACCTCTGGTATGTTCGTGAGGGAAAACTCACATGCAGAACCTGGAGGATCAATTTCAAGACTGAAGTCTTGGAATACAAAATTAAAAACTCTCAAAGGAGTAAAATATTTTCAAAGCTTGAATAACAACATATCTCTTCAAAAGTATAAGGATTTTTTTGAAGGAGAGAAATATCAACTCCTTTAAGAGTCAAGGTGGGAATGTGGTAAATATCTGGTAAATTTGATGAACCAGAAAACTTTGGAATGTGTAGTGGTTATACCAATACTGAGTTCAAAGAGCTGGTATATAAGGATTGGAATTTTCTCTATTGACGTAAACTTGTATGTTAAGTGAGGTCTTTGGAGCCTGTAACAGACAAAAATGTCAGGAGAATGGGATGAAATGTGTCACTTTTCACAGAGCAGGGTTTGAAGAGTTTGGGAGCAGTCAGTGTATTTGGGAAGGCTTTAGGTGGAAAGGTGTACGGTTCTGTTTGAAAATGGAGGATAAGGAAGACTGCAGGCAGCAGAAAGCAGGGAAAATAACAAATTCCTCCTGTAAACCTCAGAAAGGATCATGCCAGCTGTTGGTGAAATCAGTGTGGATAGATAGAATGTAGGAGAATAGAGATAGTGATGAAGGTAATCTCACCCCTAGGGGGTTACAGATGTGCTAATTATCAAGCATTAAGAACAAGCCTGCCCTTAATAAGCCACAGCTGGATCCAGTTAGGAGGGGTATTGTAAAAGAGTAGGTTGGCTTGTTGAGATGGAAGATGGAGTTTGTTGGTTGTGCAGGGTAGGAGAAGAAGGAGTCAGTGCTGTGAGGAGCTGCTCATGAGAAATCACCAAAAAGGTATGAAACCTTTGTAACAAGATAGTAACCGATCAGTAGTGAGAAAGAAGGTGGAAACACGCTAAACAGCTTAGGGAAAAAGTAATACCAAGGTTGTTATTACTAGTACCTATTGATCCAAATATTTCTTCCATGCAAATAGATTTAAATTTGTGGTGTTATCAAACACTAGTGTGCTACTTGTCAGTGTTTCAATGCATGTCACCTCTGCTTCATCTTCTTACCCTTCCCCACCCTCAACTGAAAAAAGTGAAGAGGAATTTAGAGAATGTTGACTCTGAAGAGGTTGGACACATGATTGACACTCCTAATATCAGGTCCACTCACAACAGAGCATTATTTTCCCAGCTACTTTCACTCATGTGAGAGGAGTCAGTTCTAAAGCAAGTACCAGCTTTGCAAGACTTCTGATTTCATTGTAGAAATAAGTGAAAAAGAAATGATAATCAGTCTTGAATGAGACATTGCCGAATAATTCTTAGGTGAGTGAAACTAATAAAATTGTAATCTAGGGAACTTTCAACTTCTGCATGATTTATTTCTTCTTGCATGGTTAGAGAAATGAGTATCACTGAATTAAAAAAAGAGGGTATTCTTTTTCACAGTTATGCTGTTCACAGGAAAATGTGCAATAGTTGGGTTTGCAGCATTTGAAAAAAAGGTGCTAATTGAAAAATTCTGAGTGACAGAAAGTGAAAACACAGATTTTACATGCTGTGAAGCAGAGCAAGACCACTGGATTAAAATAATAGCCATAACCTTCAAGATTTTTATAGTCTCATGGTGTGAAGAGAAACTGGTGTTGCGTTAAACTAGTATGTTGAGTTAAACCAGTTTTTTCTGGTCACAGCAGTGTTGTTCATCTGGAATTAATTCCTTATTTATTTATCTATTTTGTTTGATACAAATGACTGCCAAAGAAATTTTTTGGAGGTTTTAATGCTAAACTTTAATTTTTTTGCACTTAGAATTACCAGAAGGTTTGTTGGCTCAGCCCAAATTGCTGAATTAAACAATGGCCCAAGACTATCAGGCAGACTTTGGATTTTGTACACCCCTATATACAAAGCTTTTCCCCACCACTTCAAGCTGGCAAATGGCTCCATTGCTACAAGGCAGCCCAAAAACCTGTCTGCTGTAAATCACAGTAACACCTTTTCAAAAATATGAGCCATTCATTTTTTCAGTGTGTACACTTCCTCAGGAATATCCTAAATCTCATTTAGGGTGATATTTAAATAAAGATCAAGGACAAAATATTATGTGGCAACCTTGTTTTACTGAACTGCATTCATTGTTTAGCATATATGCAAGCTTTTCAGCTGAGCTCAGAGGACATGTTATGTTTTTCATAGAACAAATTCTGCAATATTTGAACATGCTATGTTGTCTGTGCTTATGTGTGGATCTAACAGGCAGGAATTAGGTATTTCTTTACTCTGATAAGGTTATTTCCTTTTTATTCCTTACAGCATAACAGGTGGCAAAATACTTTTGAGACAGAGCTATAGAGCTATCCTCTTACAGAGTACACTGAAAAAATATAGCATACGTGGAGTATTTGCATAATGTACAGTATCTGTGATGAGAAAGTAGATATTCAGTTTTTCTTGCATAACTTGAGTATTACATATAATATGGTAAGTTGAATGAAGAATTGCTTCTTAATAAGCTACAGAATCCTGCTTGGTGGTTAGTTTATTTACTGTATTTTGAATTTTGATGTATTATAAACAATGTTTTACTTACTCAAGCGGTTCTTTTTTGAATCAGCTTATATCTGGTTTTTTACTTCTTTCTATATATATATCAAGTACATTTTGGCCTACTCTTACTTATATAATTTATGTAATGCTAAATAATTAATGCACAATGTGGCTGTTATCTTTCAATAAATATTCTGTCTGTGCATGCACTCACAAAAACACTAAAAATCTTCAGGTTTATTTCTGAACATACAGTGTGTATGGAATCTAGAGTTTGTTTTAAGACCTTGAAATGTCACACATTAAAGCAGTCATCATGTATTTAGCAAAATCAAAATGGAGCACAGTCTTTTTGCACGCACACACAAAAGACATGCACAGGGATGAATGTTTCATGCTACAGAATGGAGATAACATTCCTTATTAAAGTTTAAATTAAACTTAAAATGCTAATAAATAACAGAACTTTGTGGAATGTAGTAATTATATTTTGTTGTATTTTTTTTGTGAAAAACGTGCACAAAATTAATGCATCTCCTTAAAGAGGTATGCTGGTACCATGAGAGATAATACAAACTAGGAAATGACTTTCTGGGAGTAGAGTAAGTTACTAAACCATTTTTATGTGTGTTTCTGTATTAAACTAGCTATACACACCGTGTGGTTGGCAGTGGAATCAAAGCTCAGTCTGCAAATCCAGAAGTAAAAGTGAAGGGAACAGATCCTGTAATAAGTCAAATTATCGACAAGCTGAAACATGTTACTCAGGTAAGGTGCTTTTTCCTATGGATACAGTATAGTTCTAACTACCATCTAGTAATGAAAATATTTATTTACTGCACCATAAAGGTTAATTCAAGTTTCTGCTGAGTGCACATCCACAGCAAAACACTAGTTGGTCTGTGTCTCACTTCAGTTATTAAAAATGACTTAGTTAAAAGGCTTGCATATGGTAGATAAGTGTAGGAAGGGAGGCTCTGGTAGCTGGGCCATCTGTACCTGCAAGTACCACAGCTCAGTATTGCAGTGGGCACACAGAAGCACCAACAGCATGATTTAGGGATATTAAGTGGGTGCATGTGTTCACATAACAATAAGACAATTTCCCTCTTCCTCCTTTATTAAATCTAGGTTCTTTCTTGTATTGCTGCAAGGTTTTTTTTTTAGATGGCAGATAGAAAAACTAGGCACTTCAAATGAAAATCGCATGCCTGCTAAATGAGTTGGTATTAGTTACCTGACGTGCATATCTGTGACTTACTAAATTTAAGGCTTACAAGGAGGTCAATTCCAATATGGTTCTGTACAATTATATTATTGCAATAGGTTTACAGGATTACAGATATCTCTGGTTACATGCCACATTTATATGCACAGATAGCCAGAACTAGAGGACAAAAACATAGTTCTGTTGAAGGCAACAGTTATTTTGCCAACAGCTCTGTATTTCAGTTTAAAAATACAAGTTTTCACTCCGATCTGAAGGCTCAGTGACCAGAAAGGTTCTACAGGCATTTTATGTCAGTGACTCATTTAACCCAGTATCCTCTTCTCTGCACTGGTAAAAGGAGAGACTACTTAGGGAGGCCATGAAGCTTCTCACTGTTGTTGTCTCCACTTGCCTTCTCTACCCCATTCCCCAAGCAAGAGAATTAGAGATATTAAATGCCTTCTCCTTGCCTGGTACATTTAGATCCATCTAAGGACTTGCTTTAATTCTGTTTTTACATCTTCTTGACAGCTTTTAAGTAGAGTTTCCCACATGGTTTCTGGATTTGAAATATTACTGATAGCTTTACGGTAAATCCTCTTGGTTCTTATATCTCTAATTGTGAACAATAACTCTCCTCTGACAACAAAACAGAGTGTTGAAATAGAAAAAAGAAAAAAAAACAGAAAAAATTATTTTCCATCAGTAGTGCTGTTTTCTGGGAGAAGTGGCACTAGATTTGAAGTTCAAAGGCAATCATTATTCTTTCCTTCTTAAAAGAAATATCTTTTTTATCCCTCCAGCTTCAGCATCATGCTTTTGTCTCTCTTCTTTATTAAAATGCCATCTACAGTGGTGGGAAAAATCAATGCAGTTTTCCTCACAAGAGATGCCATGGTTTAATTAATAACTACAAAATACTATACAAAGATAAACTTTGTAAATGTTACTTGGTAAATTCCATCTATCAGGAATGCTTTCCTCCTTTTATATCAAAACTGCTCTGTATAGTTTATTGTGTTGGTTGCCTCTAGACTTGAAGTTGTTGTTTTCTCCTTGAGTGAGTACCTAAAAGACTGGAATAGAATATTTCCATTATAAAGTATTTCATTTTGAGAGCTTACTTGCCCTTGTCCCTGAAGACTTGAGTGTATCTTGGGTAAAAGGGCATACAATTTACATGCTGAAATGCTTACCAACCTCCCAGTATATTTTCTTTCTGTGGGGTAGTTTATTTCCTTGTAGCTCTGAGTATGAAAATAGGGTCAAGGGATAAAGAGAGCAGCAAAACCCTTATGGGCTGACATATAACTGCTTTTCCCCAGCTGAAGAAGCTGCAAAAAGCTTTCCTCTTCACCATTTATTGCTTGGGAAAAGATGATGATGAGTGTAAATTAGCGATTCAAATACAAAAGATCACCTTTTTTGTCCTGTGTGGTATGAAAAAAGATGAATCACATATTAAGCTTACAATGGGCAGAAAATAAGGGGAGCTTAATGGATTGTGGTGATGCCTCAAAGGCAGACAGAGTCATACTCAAACCTAACACACAATCCAAGCTGTATGATGGAACTTCAAAATTTTCAATAGCTAATTTAGTAGGAGTAAAACATATTGGTGAAGTTTTTCAAAACCAAAAATTTCTGAAATTTACAAACTATATACTTTAATTCATCTTTAGGGTGAAAATAGCAAAAGGGCAGATATTTTTGAGGTCCTTTTCTGCTCACATTTAATGTTGACTTAGGAAAAAAGATCAAGACTATTCTGCCCTGCAGACAGAAACAGACAGATTTCTTAGTATCTTCTCCATTTTTCCTATTGGTTATACAAAGGCATAAAAATCCCAAGCAAAGAATTTGCTTTAAAATATGTAAATATCCAATGTTTAAACTGTGTTTTCCAGGCTGTTAAAAACTTTAAAACCCTGAAATTAACTCCTGGCTGCATAAGTGACAGTACCTCTTTTCAGCAGGCTGTGGTCTCTGGGCAGTTCTCCTTTGTGAGAGGCTCACAGTAATTCTCCTTTTTCTGTAAATAGTGGATTTACCAAAAAATCAATAAAACTTTTTGATTCTGTTAGACACCACTGCCCATAATCTGTGCCCTGGACTCTGCAGGTTTGGATTCACAACAACAAAGTGCTCTTAGAGGAACTGATAGGAAACAGTCAGTGCTGAATATGGCTTGGAAAAGTCACCTTCTGTAAAACTACTAACTTGTACAGACTGGTATTTTCTGGAGTTTTAAATTATGGACTCTTCATTCATTCATCTTCATGGCAGGCAAATTATGGGTTCAGTGCACATCATTTTATGTACTGCAGTCGGCTACTATCACTCTAATAGGTAATCAAGATAAGCAAAGTCAGTTTCATATGGTGTAAAGAGTAACGGGAATTATTTGCCTTTCTTCACCAATAATTTAAAACAGTGATTAATTCATCATTCCTGCAAGTACAAATACTAAGGTTATGAAGTAAGTATGAGATTTTGGAGGTGTGATTACAGGCAATTGGACCTTGGTCTTTCCAGTGTGTTTCTTCTTTCAGAAGAGAAACTCAAAAAAATACTGCTTTTGAAAGTAACAGACATTACTTGGAGCTTGTATTTACAAGTTAAATAAAGTCTTCCTCATTTAGGAAATCTTGCCATGGCAGAAGATAATTCTATGTCTGCCTGTCTAAATTAGGCAGACCAAATCTCCCTCTGGAGATCTCCAGAGGCACCTACGATTAGTGACTATACTGGAAATTTAAATGCTTCTCTCAGGATAAATTATTTCTAATTTCTAGGTGCAGTAAAATGCATGTCTGAACTTATTTGGGGAAGATCCCATCTTGCAGTGCTATACCGCTAGAATGCTAGCTGATATGCATAAAATAATATTTACCTTCTCCACAAAGGGCTGCAAACTGTCCCTAATGGAATTGATGCTTGCATTCTTTAAAGGAGTAAATGCCATTATTTCATATGACATTAAATGGTGGTGACAGTCTAATTTTTCCTTTACTACTTGTCATTATTATTGCATGGTGAGTGCTCTGTTTCACCATGCTGCCATTTGCCAATTTACCTGTCTCAAAAAGGCTGCAAAAATAGTGAGGTGAGACATTGTTTTGACCTTGATTTGGCATGATAACAACTAAGTTTTCCATCTGCATTTTTTAAAGCTATTATCAATGTACCACAGCACAGTCAAGTTAATATGTTTTTTTGTAAGAACTGTTCAAGTATGAATTGGAATTTGGGATGGAATATATTACCTGAATGCTCATCTGCTCATACAAAGAACCATGTTTTGAAATTATTCATACACAAGGTGTGGCACTTGCAATTGTGCCTACTTACTGTAGTGTTACGATAACCACCTAATAGTTAAAACCGCCCTGCCTCTAAAACTAGTGCCAATAGCTGGAAATATGTCACAAATTAGACATTTTGATTGCTTTTTAATGACTGAAGTGCAATTCTTTTTCATGGAATGAAGGAATTCTTAAGAGTACAGCAATAGACAGATACAGTTTGACACACTCTTCGGTAACACGCTCTTGGAGACTCACTTTCTAAACTTTTCTTTCCCTTTGTCTTCTTAAATGCTTTTTGTTGATATAGTGTAACCTGCAGTTTGTTCCTTTCAATAACAGGTAAGTGGGAAGCAAAATTTCAGTGCACTTTATGCAGCAGCCATTCAGCATTCACTGGTATTAGAATTGCTTTCAGCTGTGTTTGCTCCTAAACTGCCTATTTATTTTTTGTTGCACTAGAAAAGACTTCCTCACAAGTTTGTTTTGTATTTCATGTTACAAATGCATATCTAAATGTTAATTTTGCCTTAGATTTTGTTTTTACTGGCTTTTTTTTTTTTTTTTTTTTACACTTTTGGGTTTCATCCAAAGTTAGAACAAATCTGCAGGTGAAGAATAGCTCAGTATGTTGATTGCATTAATTTTTTCCCTACTGATTTGTTGGCACTGCTCCTTTCTTTATTATTCATTTCTGGAAGTAATACAATGCTGCTCTCTTTTTGAATGCAAACTCTTGAAAAGATTCTTGTTTTGGCAAGGTATGATAGTAGAGTACCAGTGATGTAGGGGTATTGGGATATTCCTACTTGACAGAGAAGTCTATTTCATATTTGTGGTGTGAGCTGTTCCAGTCTTTTATCTCCTCTATGGAGAGCTGTCTCTGACTGCTGGCTGGTGCCAACAATATGTTAAGTGCTTGACTATTACCACTGCATGTAAAATATTGGCAGAATTCCTGTAAACACATTAAGCAGTTAGAGATTAGGTGGGAAATTATTTTCTGAGATTCATAATCCTCCCTTTAAAACGTACTTCAACTTCCAGCCCCAAAAGTACACAAAGGAGTGCAGGATTGCTGATGCTTTTTTATCTCTTGGGAGTGAAAAGGTGTTCTTCACGGTTCTGTGATGATAGTAAAGGTATAAACCCTTTTTGTTGCTCACAAAGATGGTCTTTCTGTATTTGTAAGTCAAACACTAAAAGTTACATGAACATTCTGAGATGACTGTATGTTTTGGAAAATTATGTGT